TATATATTTATTTTTTTATGTTATTACGAAAACCAGATGAAAAAAAAAACAAGGGCGGATTTGGAATCAGCACAAAATCTAGAAACGTTTACTTGCATCTCTGATTTAAAAAAAAAAAAAAAAACATTTGTCATCCAGTGTAATCATGCCCAAAGATGTACAATTGAAATGAATCTCCAGCTGTAAGTTTCTGTAGCTCTAAAAAGCAAGATCACAGAGGATGACATTCAATTATTTGTTTAGTTTTGAGCTAAATTAAGTGTCCCGCCTACTAATGGTCACACCCCATTTTGCCAAGTGAGACTGGAATGGTTATTAACTGTACAACAAAAATATTTCACTCTTGATAGTGAGGCAGACACCCCATAGACCAAAGGAGCCATTAAAAAGTCCGTTTTGAAGTGGCACATCAACAAGCAATGCTTTTCTGCAACACAATTTCTGTCAAATGTTCACCTTTGCCTTTTCCAGACATCCAAGAAATACTTTGCCTTGACATTTCTTGGCACAATCCTGTGGATTGCCGTTTTCTCTTACCTGATGGTATGGTGGGCTCATCAGGTCAGTTCATCTTCATCTGTGCTCAGTTTAGAGTGCCAAGTACGTCCTCAAATCAAGTCGAACCTTTTCCTGGGCCCAGGTGGGTGAGACGATAGGTATCTCCGAGGAAATCATGGGCCTCACCATCCTGGCGGCCGGTACATCCATTCCTGACCTCATCACAAGCGTGATTGTGGCCCGCAAAGGTCTGGGAGACATGGCTGTGTCCAGCTCAGTTGGCAGTAACATCTTTGACATCACTGTGGGGTAAGTCTACTTGCCTCCGACTCAGGTATGTTGTTTTTATCCGCTCGCACCCAACAAGGCAGTAAGCCAGATTTCATTTTCTGCCATTTCAACTGGTCAGGGTCAGGCGTGGAGCCACAGTCTATTTCAGCTGCTGTAACTTTGGTCTGATCACTTGTCCATCACAGGGAACATACGTTATAGATATATGCACATAATCACAAATTAACCTACATGTGCTGTTCATGTTTTTGGAATGTGAAAGTGACTGCAAAACTGACACAAAGAGAATCCAATATTGTATATCGAATGCGCACCACAACTTGTCACAGCAACTAAAAAGCGTCAGGTCGAGTAGAAATGCTAATCGTAATGGTCTCATGGCTGGACTCCCTCAAAAGTAATGCCCAGTGAGGTGTAGCGCGTCTTCCAAATTCACAAACGCACTGAACGAGACTAGTGCCCCAGTACAAAAATGAAGATGTGCCTGTTTTTACGCCGAACGTAGACGACTTTGTTACCAAATTGTCGAATGAGTCGGGATTGAAGCAACTCCATGTGCCAGAGCAGCGCAACACGGTCCCCAACATGGTCGACCAAACGTGCATGCGCCGGCTCGAAAAAAAGCCCAGGTGTTAAAAAAACTGAAATTTGATTTGTGATTGTTAATTTACCCCTTTGGTCTTAAAAAGTGTGAGGCACACATACAAACTGTTGTACTTCTGATACGGTTTGCTTGATTCAGATGTAAATAACTTCAAAATTAAAGTTGAAGGTCGATACTTGGAGAGCATCGTTGTTTCATTTCAAACCCATTGTGGTGGTGGTTTGAAAGCCACAAAGATGAGAATTGTGTTCATGTTTCAATATTTATGGAGTGGCTATGTATTTTAAAAAATGGTTTTCTGATTGAGTTAGCAGGGTTGAAATGCTTTCAGTGACACACTTCATTATGGTTGAAAACATGGAAGGAAAAAAATAGGATGACGACTTTCATGTACCGTATTCATGGTATCTCCCCCCAATACGGTAATCTCCCCCCCATCTTCTTTTAAGATGGCTAAAAAGATTTTGGGACAGGGTTGCGTGTATGTTGATAGATAAAACCTAAGAGCATAAATACCGGTACAACAAATATGGAAAAAAAAGGTTTTAATAATTTCACCAGGGAGACAGGAAAAAAAAAGTAATCCAGTTGTGGAATGACTCCTCTCTTTTGCACTTGTAGTTTGCCCGTCCCATGGCTGTTGTACTCCCTGTTGCACGGTGGCCAGCCAGTGACCGTCAGCTCCAACGGCCTGTTCTGCGCCATCGTGCTGCTCTTCCTTATGCTCCTCTTCGTCATCATCTCCATCGCCACATGTCAGTGGAAGATGAGCCGGACGCTCGGCCTCACAATGTTCGTGCTCTACTTTGTGTTCCTCGTCCTCAGTGTTCTGCTGGAGGACCGCGTCCTCGTCTGCCCCATCTCCATATAACGTGTGACCCAGCGCGTCGTCGAGCAAGGATCATGTGCAAAAATATCATCACGTCCTTTTTAATATTAGGCTACTACAGTACTCGTTTGAAATTGGGTAGATAAGCGACACAAAATGAAACAAATGAGCAGTGGTACCTTGACGTACAAGATCGAAAGTCACAAGCTGAGGCACTCAGGCACTAGATGGCGAAAGCGAACTTTACAACTACCATTAGTTCACATTGGTTACTTTGTCAAGGTCGGCCCAAGCAAAAAAAGTTGCAAAAACTGGTTAATTCTTTACAATCTCTTATTAGTTTTTTAAAACTACAATACTGTTGAGTGCTTATTTAAAAAAAATATTCGGGAACAAGAACGAATTAATGGCATTTGCATTCATTTCAAAGGGGACAGTTGATTTGAAATATTTTTTTGCCACTCGTATTCAAGGTACCATTGTACTCAAAATATAAGACGCGGCATGCAGCCATGTCATGATGCATTGACTGTACAAATGTTGAACATGCACATTTGTGAGGGACTACTTACAAAGGCCAACTACAGCATAATACAGCTAATGGTTCTATACTAAAACTCCGTCTTGTAGAAAACGGACGCTTGTTTGTGTCATGTCTTGTTAAACTCACTTGTTGAAATGAAATGGATGCAAACATACCAAGCAAACATTTTTTTTTCCATTTGAAAACACTGCAATAAATTATTTTTTTAACAGTCTAATCACCTGTTTACTGACTGTCTGGGCCTCACACACTAAAAAAAAAAAAAAAGAAACAGGAGACCATATGACTTTATTTACATTCAAAGCGCCCTGAATGTCTGGTCCTTGGCAGAACCATCACCACGTGCGTGTGAATAACTCTTATAAAAAGTTTCTCATTTTTTAAAACAAAGCATTAAAATGGTGATTGTGCAGTCATTCATTTCCACATTTTCCTGTTTAGAGATGAACGGCAGCTTTCCCAAGCTGTTCCCATCATAGTTATTAATCCATTTCAAGTTATATCAGCCCACTTTTCTTTGGGCCAAAGTGCAGCAGCGTCCTGACCTTGAAATAATTTGTTCTTCCATGAGTGGTTGTCCTTCATTTGACCTGAGAAGGTCTTCCTTCAACCACCATGACACTCCCCACCAAAACAAAACATGCGTGCTAAATGAGACGTTACTTCTATTACGCAGGACTTTACAGCTACTTATGATTCGTATTGATAGACTTTTAACTGACTGAGTCACCAGGTTCTCTTTAGGTCCAGTGGTGGCTCAGTGGAGCAGGATTTATTCAATCATTTCCCCCCCGCTTTTTTTTTTTTTTTTTAATTTAAATAGATTTCAGATGGATATGCATTTGGGAAACAAACTGTATATACAGTACACAGACCCCCATGTGTCAGCGTGACGCGTTTTTGATAAAGTTGATACCTCTCATTCACTCATTCTCACCCAAATATATCTGGGTAATAGGCCTCGATAACAACCTGTGTCATTTTTAATCCGATGATATTTATGATATACGTCAGCCCCAAACCAACATACGTCTCTTGTGTATTTTTCAGTCTACAGCTACAACTATGTTACACTTCACCTGTGATTCTAAACATTGAAGTCTGTTTGCTTTGTCATTCCTTTACCTTTGGGAAACCCACATAGCATTGGAAAAGTGCAGGTAAGCAACTAACAACAAATTAGTTACAGCAGGGCCATTGAGTTCAATAGGAACGAGGGGGGTTTTATACCGAAGGTTTTGGGTGTCGTACCTCCCCGACCAGCAAAAGAATAAGGCATCTTTCCTGACAGATCCATTATGCCCCAGCCAATATGGCAGCAGCGTCAAGTATGGATACAGTGTTTGTCGATCCTTTAATGACATACTCCCGATTTGCACCTGTAAAAACTGGGCAAATGGCACCACTATGTGTTATCCATCCATCCATTTCCAATCCGCTTTATCCTCACAGGGGTTGCTGGAGCCTATCCCTGCCGTCTTCGGGCAGTAGGCGGGGGACACCCTGAACCGGTTGGCAGCCAATCGCAGGGCACACAGAGACCAACAACCATCCGTGCTCACATTCACACCTAGGGACAATTTAGAGTGTTCAATCAGCCTGCCATCCATGTTTTTGGAATGTGGGAGGAAACCGGAGTACCCGGAGAAAACCCACGCAGGCCTGGGGAGAACATGCAAACTCCACACAGGGAGGCCAGAGCCAGGATCGAACCCACGACCTCTGCACTGTGAGGTCAACACGCTAACCACTGGACCGCCTCCGCTATGTGTTAGTGCAGGCAAAATAAGAGGACGTGGAGGCAACTGACGGTGCAATTTTGGAGTTTTTGAATGATTGCAAGGGATGACTTGGAGCCAATCACAAGAAGGAGGCGTGCCATACCACCTTTGACCGAATTCCTCATCTCTACAATTTAGCACCTGTTATTTGTGATCTAGTAAATCACTCCCTAAAAGCCTTACAAGTGGCTGTAATGTGCAAGGTTTGATTGTTAGCGCGAATGTGTGCCCTGCAATTGGCTGGCAACCAGTTCAGGGTGTATTCTGCCTACTGCCCAAAGACGGCTGGGATAGGCTCCAGCACCCCCCGCGAGCCTTGTGAGGAGAAGCGGATTAGAAACTGGAAGCATGGATGGACGATGACGTCTTGCCTCTGTGTGCGTTGCCTTTTTCATGTGTGCTGCTCGACAAATAGAATGTAGAGAATATGTCAGCGTTTCTAACAGCCATTCTATAAGAAAATAAGAGGAACAGTGTCATTGTTGAAATTAAGAGAATGATGCAGCAAGCTCAGATGATTTCTAAAAACAAGTTAAAACAGCAATTGATAAATACGGTAAAATAATAAAATCCCCATTGGTACCATTTCAAGATCATCTCCTCGTGTTAACATCCACCCATTTTCTATGATCATTATTATGATATGAGATTTGACAAGGGTGAAAACTAGAGATGGAGGATTATGAAACCATTGTCTCCCTCATTCGAACATCCACAGAGATCTTGCATCGAGCTGCTTGTCCAACAAGGTCGTTGTGAAGATTTGACAATTTCTACCACAGTTGTAAAACAAAAAGTAAACATCAGATAGCAAACTGCACTTCCCCACGTGGTAAGATTTAAATTGTTACCTGGGGGGTGGTCAGTTTACAATTGTTGCTGAATGAAGTCAGTTCTCTTCAAGTCAAACTCTGTTCAATATGTCAGCGAGCATGATGGACCCGAACTGTAACACACCTACAACCACAAGACAGTCAACAGATGGCGCTAGAATACATACGGCTAACTTACTTTGTATCAATAGAATTCACATGAAAATATCCTCGCGAGTAATTTCGCATGCCATGTTTCCATGAAAAATATTGCTTTGAAAAATACTTTTCTGGTGCGTAGTAACAGTCTTTCTAGAAGGAGACATCAGTTCAAACGATTGAAGGATGGCTACGATGAACATTCCCGCCTCGCAAACAGCTCGGCTGCTTTTCCTGAGCTCGTCTTCATGCAATTTAGAGGTAAGGCTCCCCGAAAGTTCTGCGACACTCCATGACGCCCGCGCTCGGAGGGCGGTCGCAGTTGCGCGTCAGCTTCACCAGGCTCGGCGACAGGCGGTCGTATGCCAGCTTGTACTCGCGATCGAAGGCATCTGTGTCAAGAGTGAACCAGCGTCAACGTTTATTCGGACTATTTTCTTTCAGCCGGGAACTGAGGACTCACCAATATCAATGTTGTCTTTTCCCAGAGCCACCAGGGAAAGGAAGAGGAGGTCTCTGTACAAGCTCCTAAGCAGGACAAAGCTAAGTATTTACCCTTTGTTTGGTGTGGACCAGGGGTGCCCAAACTTTTTGGACAGAAGATCGACTTTTCGATCAACCAACCTCCCGCTATCGACCCAGCGCACGCACACATATACACACCCACGCCATGATGAGCAACAGCCTGACACGGAGGCATGCGACGCACTTTTGCAGCCTGTTAGCTATCGTTGCTCACACGTACCGTTTTAAAATGCTTCCCTCAGCCCTCTAGATTCCCATTCTTTGCCCGTGCCCTCGGTGAATTGTACACGAAACAAATTCTGAATGAGAATAATGATAACGATAGAAGATATAGCGCAACAGTTCCGATCACAAGCTGCAATTGCAGACTGCTGAGCGCTAACAACATCCGGTGACGCGCCACTGTAGGTTAAAGATTTACCTGCTTAATTTTATTTTTTAATACTTTTTGTGAAAATGAGACTGATAGAATAATTAGGGGGCAGTGTACATTAACACAAAAAATATATTACTAACATGCACAAAGACACACAAATGGTTGTTTGTTTTTTTTTCTCCTCTACACCCCTTGCGATTGATTTGGGACTAGTCTGCGATCTACCGGTCGATCGCGATCGACGTAATGGGCACCCCTGGAGTAGACATTCAAACCGACATAGACAAAGTCATTCATTGAAATTGTTTCCATTTTCTGTAATAGCAAAGATGGGCACAAGTAGGTCATTATTGTTTCATCAGTGTCAGTGTAACTAAAAATAGCCTGACTTTAGTAACTGCTACTTTATACTACAGTCGTTGAAAGAATTAAGAGATTCTTGATACATGACCTATGATGGTAGATAATTGTTGAACACATGCAAAGACTGAGAAGAATGTAGTTCTGAATGGTTAAGATGTAACATGGAACGTTTTGTCACCATTTCACCAGTCTGGATATTTTGGGTAAGTGGAGGAATATCAATACGTATGAGTGGAGGTGTTCATGGTCGGGCAGTAAGGTTCAGGGGTACATGAGACAAAAGATGGAATCACCGCCTTACATGCAAAGGGGTTTTCTTTCCCGTTTGCCATGTAAGGGACACTAACTCCAACCAAGAAGGAATGTGCGTTGTTCAGATGAGACCCAATAGATTTATTATTATTAATACTTTTTTTTTTTTGCTTAAGCGCCATCTGTGATGGAAAACTAACTTTGCTTATCACCGTAAACACACCATCCCCATTGTGAAACATGGTCGAGGCAACATCATGCATGTGGGGTTGTTGTTTTTTTTTTCTAGCGGTGAAAGGGAAGCTGATCAGAGTTGATGGGAAGGTGGATGAAATTCTGGAAGAAAAACCTGTGGGACTTCAAATTGGATACGGGAGTCATCTTGCAGTAAGACAATGACCCTCAATAGAAAGCGAGAGCTACAATGCAATGGTTTAGCTCAGACTTGAAAGACTTGAAAATTGCTGGTGACAGACGCTCGCCATCCAATCTGGCTGAGCGTGAGCTATTTTTCAAAGACAAGTTTCAGTGTCAAAGATGCTAGAGACTCAAGCTGAACAGTTGCATTTGCAATATCGTCACGACTTGATAAAAAGGGATAATTGGCTGAGCCCGGGAACATCCAGGCTAGTGAAGTGCAGTCGCATCGCTCGGTGTGTGCAACTGGCTTTAGTCAAAATGCACCCATTATGACACTGACCTTTGCCTTTTGAGACCGAGGGTCTGGTCCTGTAGCTCAAGCAGATGAGCCATCGGTCGGCCGACATCGTTCCTCTGGATGCTCCTCACCACACTGTGCAGCAGCTCCTCCGTGAACGCCTTCTCCTCTTTTGGGACCGTTCGGGACACAGAGTAGCCCACATCTACAAACAAACACACAAACACACACACACAAGTCAGTCAGTCAGCATAATGCCCTTTTTCCCCTTAATGACAGATTTATGACTGACCTGTTTGTTTCGCATTACGCACTTCATTTCACACTTAACTACTATGCTCGGCTAGCCTATGTCAGTTGAAATAAAGACAATAAGGGCTCATCTGCTGATGACGGTTAAACTGTTGACTGTGTTTTAGTACAGCGGCTATGTCTTTCTTTAAATCTGAATGTGTGTGGAGGTGAACATTCACAAAACCAACGGCCACATTCAAATACAGTGCAGGGATGTATTTGGCCTTTCTTCAGGGTCACATATACAACGGGTAATTTCACCCACTAAAAAAATAAAACATGGGAAGTAAATGATGACTTTTCATGGACACGGATGCGAGCACAGAGAGGACGCACAAGAGAGCAAAGACAACCCAAGTTATAAAGCAGAAGTCTGCGGCCAGAAGACAACACTCACTTTCTAATAATAGAGTACATTTAAGCCCTGAAAGACAGAGAGCAGACAGAGCCTGTTAGCAGGAGACGGCTGGCTTGACCAACAACACGTTCCTTATAAAATAAAATTACTACAACAGAGCCCAGGACGCACTCTATTTAGGACTGACAGTCAAATAACAGGAAATTCACATGAAAAATAAAATCATACGACTGACATTTAAAGTGAGTCATCACATGATTTGGACAATTCTGACACATCACCATAAAATGCTTGAGATTTGTGGAAACGTTTGTCATGAAATAGTAAATATATTTACATTTAAAAAGCTGAGATATAATAGTGAGTCAAGCCTGCCCACCCTATAAATAATACTCTGCTGAAGCACCTTTTGCATTCAATCATTTTGGGCGGGAGTCTGTCCCAAGCACATCTTGAGTGAATACTCACCGCGTCTTCTTTGCAAAACCACTCTAAATGCGTCATGCTTTGACTGAGGATTTTCCAACTGGATGAGGTCTGACTGGGCGTGTTCTAAAACTCGAATTATCTCCCGATAAAGCCATTCATTTGTGGGTTCGGACCTCGGCTACAGATTGTGCACTAAGGTGAAATTCATCTTCGTATTCTGAGTCATCGTGGATGCCTGACTGTTTCATGCCAAAACTGACATCAGCCCAGTTGCTTGTTATTGACTGGAGTAAAGCATGATACTGCCACCGCGATCCTTGACTATATTAATGATGTTCCTCCGTTGATGTCCATTGGTGGCGTTGCTGCAAAGCTCCAAGCTCTGACTGAGACCCATTATTTTCAGAGCGGAATTTTCTATTTAGACCAAATCAATGGCTGGTGTAACTGTGGATTACAATGTAGAGTACATAATGCCCTTTCTACCATCCATCCATTTTCCGATCCACTTTATCCTCGCAAGGGTTGCGGGAGGTGCTGAAGCCTATCTCAGCTGTCTTCGGGTGGGGGACAGCCAATCGCAGGGCACACAGAGACAAACAACCATCCGCGCTCACACTCACACCTAGGGACAATTTGGCATGCCCAGTCAACCTGCCATGCATGTTTTTGGAATGTGGGAGGAAACCCATGTACCCGGAGAAAACCCACGCAGGCACGGGGAGCACATGCAAGCTCCACAAAGGAAAGCCGGAGCCAGGATCGAACCCACGACGTTTTGGAATGTGGGAGGAAACCGATGTACCTGGAGAAAACCCACGCAGGCACGGGGCGCACATGCAAGCTCCACAAAGGAAGGCCGGAGCCAGATCGAACCCACGACGTCTGCACTGTGAGGTCGACGTGCTAACCACTGGACCACCTGCCCTTTCTCAGACTTTGAAATGTGTTCCACAGCATTTTCACAATTACTTTTCCCTAACATAACACTTTCAGGTGACTTTTTTTTAAAATTTATATATTTTTTATGCTGCGAATATGAAATGTCAACTTTGAAATGTGTTCCACAGCATTTTCACAATTACATTTCCCTAACATAACACTTTCAGGTTAATTTTTTTAATTTATATATTTTTTTATGCTGCCTCTTAATGAATATAAAATGTCGGCCGAAGTCCAAACGTCCTGACCAACAAAGAAATATGACTCACTGTACGTGTTCCAGAGAATGTAAAAAGGCTGAACGGGGTCCTGCTGCAGCTTCAAGTTGTCCCACAGTATCTGGATCAACACATGTTTGCTGTCCTCTAACATCCACTGACGAGGGATCTGCAGAAAGCAGAGAGCTTAGTTTCTTGTCTTGGCTGTGCTGTACACATTTCTTACCTGGGATTCCCTATTGCAGTGTTCGGAGGTGAGAATGAGTCCCGGCAGGTTGCTGGGTAGGTCCAGCCGTCTGAAGTACCACACAAGGTTCCAGAAGATGATCGGATGATGGTCCACCATGTCAGCCTCTGTAATTACTGGGTCGCCCTCATTCTCCAGAAGGCTCTCCAGCTCCTTCCACAGCACCAGCGGGCTCAGGTACGGAACGGTCACTGGCTCAGGGTTGTGGAGACGCCAGTCCATACTCAGTGGGTCCTGGACAAAAATGATAGTGGAAAGATTTTTGATGGATCCACAAATTATATGAACAACAGTGATGTAAAGCCAACCACATTAGCCTTACAAGTTTCAAAAATGTTTGTCAAGGTCACAGAAATTGGACAAATGAAGCTCCTTTTTTTGATGAGCAGCAGTCCTCGTCTAAGCGCAGGTCAGCCTAACAATAATGGAAGCCAGGCATACACAGAAAAAAACCCATGCAAGTATGGGAGAACATGCAATCTCCACAGAGGTACACGATACAATTCGCATGACAGGTTAGCTCTGTCTTATAAATGTAGAATACATGCTCACTTTAGGTCTCCAACATTTAAATAATTGCATGTACCGGTATTTCTAAGTTTATTAAAGTACAACGTTATCTGTGGCATGCACTTTTGGGGATACTTAATGATCGCGTATTATTTGAAATTATTCACAATTTCTCATCTTGTTAAAATACAATGTTGCTGACCAAATTTATTTAGATTTGACTCGAGATTATTTTTCATTATGACCCAAAATTATTTTTCATTCAGCGTGAAAATGTTAGGGTCAAAAATAATAATTTTGACGATACTCTGGTATCAGCAGTGTGGCACATACAGTGGTTTCATTCAAGCGGCTGGGTAAACTGCCAGAGAATGGCACAAAATGGTTGCACTGGTATGTTTCCTCAGCTGGACCAAAGGCACTGACGCTACGGGCCATGGCCAATCCAGAAGAAAAAGCCCCGTGGCGCCACTCTGAGGGGATCTTGACACCGTGAGATCTCATAGATCGAGGTCTGTGGAAAAATAACCTTCTTCCAGTCAAAACTGCACCATATCAAAAGACACTCGGTAAAAGAATATCATGACATCTTTGTACCTCGATCTCACTGAACGGTCTTGGATAGAAATACCGGGGGAGGGTGGCGAGATAGCAGTGTTGGGACAAGGGGTGGACAAGGTGGATGTCCCTGTGCCAAAGCCCGTGGAGGCAGAATATGAAGAGCTCATCGCCTCGTCGACAGATGCGCTTCCCTTTAGGAACATCCTAAGAACAAAAGAAGGGATCGAATCACATTGACAATCATCATCATTGACCATGCTATGATAGTGGACTTGTACACTGCATCTGGATGCCATGACTTAAACTACCGGGATATTTTATTACCTGCCGGGTCCTCTCGTGTCTCTAATCTCCACGTTAAGAAAAGGAAGGAAAGGGTTTCCGCAGAAGGGACAGATGGTATTTAGATTGGAGTCATCAGCTGTCCAACCAGCCATGATTTCCTCATCGTAGACCAAACAGTCACATGTCTTACACCGTGAACAACTTGATATCAACAGCTGGGGGTGGCGAAAGAGACAAATTGAAAATACTTTGAGCAAAAATAAATAAATATTCGATATTTCTACAGTATATGCGCGCGCGCGCACGCACGCACACACGCACACACACACACACACACACACACACACACACACACACACACACACAGAGGGTGTCTGTAAAATCTGGACACATAGGATAATGAGATCTTTTTTCATTTAATTCAACTGTTAATGTTCCATGAATAAAAAGTTGAAGGTACGCGTAAAGTTTGAAGTTGTCTTTCATGTGTTCTACCTATGCGCCAAGGTCTTACGGTCACCTTATTTATATTTTATATATATATATAGATTTTCATGACTCAAAAATGTCCATCTACTTGAGAATGCAAACAAAATAGTCAATAGAAAAATTTAAGTCTGCTCATCCAAGTGTTACGATTAAGGGACAATATTTCATACAAAATCAAAGTAATAGCTCTGTCAATCGGTTTATTACAAACAAATTGTGCCGATTGTGTTCACCTCCATTGCATAGTTATTGAAGATGCTGGTGTTGCTTGTGTAGTGTGAGGAGCCCACGTCTGACTTGTCTGACAAAGGGAAGCCAGGTGGTGAGAGGTCGCCTGTAAGATTATGAAAGATGGGAAAAGTGTGTGGCAATATGACATATATTACAGATTGATGTTATGGCATTAAAGTGCACCGATACATCAATGGCAATTTGCAAGCAAACCTGAACGATTGTTCTCAGCATTTAAGCATTAGAGCGAAAGTGGGCAGTCATGTTCATGTATTAATTAAAATGTAAGGATTTACTGTACCAGAAAGCAGAGTTGTTGGTCTTCTGTGGCTTGCTGATGCAGTGGGACAGTTTAGTCTGCTGTGGAAAGGGCTTGGTCTAGGACTTATTCGAGGTCCCTTTGGGCCAAGAGGCCCATTCTTTTGTGGGGAAACCATATCGCTCTTTGACTCCCTTTTGTGCTCCTCATCTTGATCGGAGAAGGAATCTGGATACCCAACGTCGAGCTCAGACCCACTGAGACGGTGGGTGTCCTGCATGAGCAGAGATTGGAACATTATTGATCCAACAGCAAACAAGGCAAGCTCAGACAGTGCTCACACGTACGATAAAGTCACACAAAAACACTGAATGATGAAAGAATTGAATTACATTTGTGGCACAGAAACTATAGCAATTCAGTACAGGACACATGATGAACTTTAACACTATTATAGATTAAATTGCATAACACATGCATGCACCGCAGTTAGTCAAGTTGAAGCCCTCCCTGCATTATGTCTGTTCAAACAGCAGACATACTTGCCCACTAGTGTGCTTCATGCGAGTGTTAAACTTAGTGATGTCTAGACATGTTCCTATTGTCCCAAATTATGATAGTGACTCAGGTTCCAGCGAATTTAATATTACACAAATTGAGCATTTTATGAAGATGTATGCAATTTACTCACATTGGTTATTAGTTCAAAATAGTTATGATGTTAGGAGACATTGTTTTCTTGATGATGTACTATGTTTGTCTTTCACTAAAATTAGAATGTTAAAATCGCTGCTGACAGTTACAGCTTGACTTTTTTTTTTTTTTTTTTGTCAAAGCTATGGCTCGCTCTTATTTTGTGTTCATAATATTTGTGTGCACGCCTTCATGAAGGACACATTTTTATAGGTTTACCTTGGTCGGTGTGGTGTATGTAGACAGACGCGAGTACCAACGGCTGGCCTTCTCCGCCACACCTTTCCCAGCAGAAAACATACTGGTTTTGAAAACATCCAGTGTTGGTGTCAGCAGTGTGTCAAGAACAAAAGAGGAGGAGGATGGTGAGGGAGTTGCGACTTGCATCCTGCTTGTCTTCTCTCTATAGGACCTTGGGCGCGGGCTAGGGCAAGGACTAGGGGTGGTGCTAGCGCTGCGACGGGGCGGTGATGACCACAGACGTTGATGTGATCTGAGCTGGGGGGGCGAGGGAGGGTGGAAGGTGCGAGACCGTGGCACTGCTGTGGTCCGAAAGGGGGAGCTATGGGGTAAGCTAGCTCTTCGAGTAACAGAGTGTGAAGAAGGGTGGAAGATGAGGGGGCTGGCCGGGTCCTGCAGATCCACACTTGGTGTACGACTGCTCAGTGGGCTCCCCATGTGCTTCATGTACAGCTCGATCTCCCTTGCCAGATGCCTGTTGGCGGTGGGTGTGCTGTCATCCTCTGGGCGCGGATGCTCCTTTTGCTGCTCTGAGTGTGATGCTGCAGCTAGTATGGATAGAGGGTCATAGCCCGTCGCGATGCCTGTGCGATTCACAGTTCCACTCGATGCCACATTACTCATGCCACAGAAGCTGGGGCTGCATTCAACATCCTTCTCATGAGATCTGCAGGTTTTTTGACAAGTCATTCCAACTCCTGTGGTAGTTTTATCCAAATCCAAGTCCTCCAAATCAAAAATTGCTTCGATATTATGTGTGTCCTCATCACTTGAGTCGTTCTCCTCTTCATCTTGACAAGTTCTCGTGACAGCAGTCTCCTCTAAACCACTCAATTCCAATGACTGAGGCCTCTTGCTCTTACCAAGTTTGGTATTAGAGAGAATTTTTGCATCAGCGCCAAGATGTCCTGCTATTTTAACTGGGTCTGTTTCACCCTGCCTCATACCCAGACCAAGGACGGTGGTGGTCTCTACTTTGTCACCACTCATATAACGCCCCCTCACACCCTGCCAGTCAAAAGCCGAGCCACCGCCAACAACTTCTTCCAGAGTGCTCTTGTGTCTCCTGAGCAAGCTATTAGATTGGATCTCACCGATCTCTTCCAGGGAAGAAGTGAAGAGAAGACCTGCAACATGGCCTAAAAAAGAAAGCGGGAGAGAAGCCTTCATTTTACAGTGAGTTTCATTCCACTAATTTGGAAGGAGCCTATCTACTGATCTGATCAGCTATATTGGATCGGCCAGTATTTTGCCATTTATGCACATTTTGTGACTTCTCAGTCTTAATTCGCTGATCCGACTGAAATAAGAAATTGCAGCTGCAATGTTTTTCACATACACATTTATCTGTGGCGGGATGACACAAATTAATTTTGATCACCAGTGATACTTTTTGGTGCTTCAATATGTTACTGCTGTATTATTCTTTTTGCTACGCGAGATGCCGCTCTGCTCCCTGGGTGCGTCTGATAATCCATACCAATGCTTCATTTTCTAGTACAATACTACAAACACAGTACCTCCAATGACTAAAGTATAAAAAGTCTCATTATCACTTGGTCAATCAATCTTAGTGGTATCAGAGGAATCAATATCTTGACCAGCATCGCTCCCTCCACTGCACGCCAGCAGGCATAATGGCAGTCTCATTACAGTAGGCTCAGTGCTATTTTTGTTATGTGTATTTTTGCAATGAACCATCACTCCAAAGTTTGGCAAATCCTGCCCTGCATACAGTCAAGAGGATCTTTTGAGTTTTGGATTACACTATGAAAAGACTGATTAGAAGCGAACCTTTCAGAAATAAATAAAGATCTACAACATTTAAATCCCATGGCCGTCATCCACACAGTACAAGACTACTATACAAAATCAGTAATCCAATTCACTTCATTCTTTCATGCAGGCGTTATGGCTCATAAATCCACAAATTATTCATTAAAATAATTTTGAAAAAGTTGACTTCTTTTTGCATTATATGTTTAGAAAGCAGTGGCAATGTTGGTAAACATGCAGTTCTGCTCATTTGTTAACAAATAAATGTTTTATATTCAAATCACCCAGTTTTTTAATCCTCCCTCCCTTCCTTAGAGCATGGCAAAAACTGCTAAACATTGGTAAAAATGCTTGAGAATACGTCCGTTGATGCACAGTAAAGAGTACACACGTGTTTACAGTTAAATAAAACAAATAATTTACATAGACATATCCCATCTTGTGATCGGAATGGTAATCGGTTTATTTAAACTTGCTGATTAACAAACAAAAAACAAGGCTCGCTTTCTACTTTCCGATTTTGTGCACAAATAGAAAAAACAGTTAATAGGCGGTGTGAATCCGCGTATCAGTCGTTCATTCATTTTTCAAAAGAAGATTTTTTTTAAACCAAACAAATTTAAGATTAAATGAATTCTCACTATTCCTAAAGTAAAGTGAAAACATGGAAAACAATTCTTTTTCTAACTTCTGATTTTGTGCACAAATGGAAAAAAAAAAAACAAGGCAAACAGTCTCTTCAGAATGCCCCCCCCGACCCCTTTTCATCAATAAACCCTCCTCAATGTACCCTCCCAGCAATTAAGATTGATTTTTAATTTAGGTCCTGCTTTTGAAATCTGCTACAATTATTTCAGAGCCTAAGTTGGACTACCAATATTTATCACCAAAGATTTGTTATATTTACGTTTGTCTTCAACTCAAAAGTGCACATTTGAGAAAAGACTCCTTTTTCCTGAGCTACATAAAATCCTGGAAATGTTTAAGGATTAGGATCTATCAAGTCAATCATCTCAACCCTTTTATTGTAATTGTCTGCAGCTCACTTCAACTCACTCCTAACTCGAATGAAGACAAGCGGAATGGAAATACATTTTACAGAAATGATATTATCAGTCACTTTTACCTGTGCTTGAGGAGGTCTTAGTTCTACATTTCGAATTGTCATATTGACAACTTCTTACAATGCCACGGGAATGCAAGGAAGAATTGATCTCCACGTCCAGCTGAGGAAGACAGTCTTTACTTCCCTTGGTGCTCTCTGTTTCTGACACTACAAATATAAAAAGCACAATTTAAAATCCTGTGACAGAATAGACGGCCAAGTTATTTTACCCCAATTAAACAAAATATCAATAGGTATGACATCAAATAGATTACTGACAAGAACTGCAGTCGCTCTCTTTCTTATCCTTGTCAGGAATGGAATCCTGTGCACAGCTGTCTCCTCTGCGAACCTCCTCTTTGGACAGCGAATTGTATCCCAAATCTGATTGATCTCCTAAATGGAGACAAAATGGCACAATTAAATGATGAAATAGGGGGAAAGATGAGAGGGACAAGACAAGCACCAAGGTACCTGATGGCAAACCAAACAATCACAGAGTTCACAGTAGAGTACAAAATGCCTCAGTTTACAGTTAGCTACGATTGTATAATCCAAATAAATTAAGCAAATCAACGGTGGAGACCAGTTGCTAATTTCATACTAACTACTGCCAAAGAATCAATTTGCAGTGATTATTTTTTGAAGCAGCATTCCAAATTGTCCCTGAGTGTGAGTGTGGATGGGTTTTCGTCTGTGTGCACCTTGCGATTGGCTGGCTACCGGTTCAGGGTGTCTACCGCCTACTGCCCGAAGACGGCTAGGATAGGCTCCAGTACCCCCCGCGACCCTTGTGAGGATAAAGTGGATCCGAAAATGGATGGATGGAGGGATATTTTTGAAGCTCCTCTTCCTAACATCCGTCCATTGTAATCTCTAAATAAAGAAATTGTATAAACTCGGCATCGCTTCTTCTGACTCTGCTGTGAACCATCTTAGCCTTTCGGAGCAAGGCCCAAAAAAAAAAAAAAAAAAAAATTGTCTTGATAAGTATTTGCAATAATCAATGATAAAGTCCTCGTGGGTGACCATGCCAAGAATAGCAGAGGGCCAAACAACACACAAATACACCCCAAGAAAATGACTGACTGAAGTTAAGAAGGTCAAAGATCTGAGACGAAAACGCCAGAAAAATATGGTAGCAATGAAAGGGCTGAAAGAAAACACAAACAGTTATGGGTCAGTTAAGGTGAGCAGAGATGGTCAGAAGGAAAGAGACTTTTACCTGGATTGAGGGTGGGTTTTCTGTGCTCAGAGCCCCCCCTGCATGAGTGGGCCCAGGCGCCCACATGGCTGACTGCATGCAAGAAGCAACACAGGCAGGGCCAAAGTGAGGGGCAGCGTTAGAGACAGAGCAGAGCAGAAACCACAGCCACAAAACCATGAAGAGACATGAAATGATATGAAGGAATATAACCAGTCAAAGTGGAGCGAAATGAAGAAGTGACCAGTGATGGAGTGGCAAGGGACAAATGAGGGAGGAAGGGTGTTTAAAATTAAAAAAAAAAAAAAAAAAAAAAGAATTCTGTCAAAAAACATGTCGTTCAGCAAAAGACTGAGCCATGCCGTTGAATTATACCTGTGCTAGATCTATCATCGGTGGGATCTACTTTGATGGTGTCAGCGGTGTAAGCGCCCTGCTCGTTCAGGTTTGTGTCAGCAGCGCTATCCAGGCTGCCATGACTAACAGCATCCATGTCGCTGCCATCTAAATTAAAAAAAAAACAAACAAAAGTACCACTGCGCATTTTAATTTCAGTTGGCAAACAGCATTTGAGGATTCTCACGAAACCACATTTCAGAATACGTTCTCAGCGAATTTACCTGACAGTGGGCTCTGCGGAGGAGGGGCATGTTTCCGTAGTGACTGTTTGAACTGAGCCACACCCAGAACAACATTCCTCAGCTTCATCCAAAGGAAGTAGCCTCCTCTCGTGCTGGTTGGCCATGTGCTTTCCAACACCGCCTGTCAAAAAAAGAGGATAGAGAATATTCTCACCTCAAAATGGGGCATGATACAAAGCAGGTCGATATCAGCTGATCGCCTTTAACCCAGTCTTTGTTTTTTGCAGTTTCTTTCAGGGGTGTCAGGGGTAATACAAAAATACAAAGACGAAAATGTTAACGGCAACGCTACAACTAATAAAGAAAGTAAGGGTTTACTCCACAGTCTGTTGTCTTCGAGTTTTACGAATACCTAAATGACAAGTAACTGCTGAAAAATGACTTAACATAAAAATTATATATTACTAATGTATAATTCTCAGAGATATATGTGAGTACCTTGTTGTAGTAGCCGTATGTGATTGCATTGGGGTGGACTCCTGCTTTCTTCATCTCAAAGAGGACCCTGACAGCAAGGACAGGCTGACCGTATTGTCCACAAAGCTGCATCAGCACTCTGTAACACACCTGCATAAAGATGAATAAAATTGTTAAGACAAGATTAAATAACAAAAGTTGACTGAACAGCCAAGGGCTGAATGACATGACATTAGGACATTCTTAGAATACGTCACCTCATCAGGTGGCTGCAGCTTCTTAGACTGCATCTTACGGAGGACGTCATAGGCGGTACGAAGTGCTCGTACCTTCGAATGGCAAACCTTCACATATGCAGGCAAGCAGATAAACCAGAGGCCATAACAATGGCGCAGGAGGCACATGGACCACAGCTTTGGGATGGACGAGTATTTTTTGGCTATTTTCTGGGCTGATTTAATCTCCTGTGGGCAAAAAGGAATGCAGGGTGAAAAGAAGCTATGAAGTTAAAATTATGGATTGGGAAGACTGCCAGTCATACTTTTTACACGCATGCTATTTGAGTAAAATTTTTATGGCATTCGTTCAGAGAGCAGTTAGCATTACTATGACCATATAGTGTAATAATGTGGAAGCAATGCAGCTTTTTTTTATCTAGTTAGTGCTTTCACAAAAGCTGCAGCTGAAACAAAACGCTTTACAGAACAGTTAACTTAAAATAATGAAATACAATCTAACAATAAAATGAATCATGATGGTTTTGGGGAACATATTCTCAAACATCTTTCTGACTCTCACATTAACCATTTTATGTAGTAATGAATTTTAAAAAAACAACAAAAAAAAACCCCATCTGCTATCGATTTAGGCACATGATTCACTTGATATTTTTTGTTGGTTGTATTTTATTTCTTTGTTTTTTTATTCTGAACATGCAAATGATATAAACCACATTACATGGACAAGCAATAAAAAAGAAAGAATATTTGCACAAAACATCCAGTCAAAGCAACATAGAAACAAAACAGAACAGCAATTTAGCAATTTCACTTACATGTTCGACAAGGGGTGAGAATAAATGCAATTTATTTAATCCCACGTACCACCTCTTTCTCCTTCAATATTATTATTTATCTACTTCACCATTTAATATTCTTAAATATCCGCATGTAATCACCCACACCCACACCCACACACACTAGAAGCCCGAAATTATTCATACTCCAGACCCCACAATGATTATACATGTTGAATACTTATCCCCAAGATTCACAAACTGTCTTCTGTCAGTCAAATAACTCCTCATTCAGTCCAGTACCCTTCCCCTGACACCATAATCGCTTCAGTTTCTTAAGGAACATATTGTGGTGGATTGTATCAAATTCAGTTTTTTTTTTGTTTATATCTATGAATATTCCAATAGTGTATCATTTTTGTTCCAATGAAGCAGTAATTTTCTCTACTGACTCTACTGTAGAATATTAATGCCAATATTGTTGATTTGTTTGATCTAAAGCATACTGCCTTTCGCCGAGTAATTTGTGTCTGTGCAAGTAGTTATCCAACCTGTTATTGAACAGCTTTTCTAATGTTTTTTAAAATTGTAGTGGTAAAGAGACATGTCGATAGTTTCTGAGAAGGTGCCAGAGTTATAAAATGACCTAAGCTATGTTCATGTTCGTAGCAGGCTGCTACTGTGACATTCACCTGCTTGCTGCGCCGAAACATGGGTGCGGGGCTGGTGGGACAGCTGTGCCTGGCATTGAGGCGAGAAGCTGGGGTCTGAAGTCCTTCCACTGGGTCAAAAAGGTCAAGACTTAAAACTGGGAAGCCATCATATCTAATGAAGAACATGCATACAGACATTATGAGACAAATCGTTTTTCACACATTACTTGAGACTGTTTCTCTATTGTAACGAGGCCTCTTGACAATATATTGTTTTAGCACTGGAAAGCCCCGTTTACTTCTCTTCTACATGATACCCAATTTGTAATGAACTTTTTATTTTTAGTTCCTTCAATTTTGTTCTACCTGTAGCATAATGTATGCTCTTCACTCTCATGCAGAGGAGGCAACTCTGGAGGTGTGATGAAGACCGTGTGCTCACTGCGGTAAGATTCATCAGTCTCTATCAGCCTGGTTTCCTCTGGCCTGTCACCATCTACCTGCAGAGAAGAAACCAACATGATGGTACAAGGTCACCATTTCACTTCCAGTACATCTTTTAGATTGAAAACCCAGATGAAATGATCCGGTTGGACGTATGACGTTGACAGGTGCCAATATCACGTCACACAGATGTAGTAACTGCTGCTTACTCAATTTGAGGCCCTTGATAATATTTTTGAAAAAACACTTTGAAATCTGTGAAGACCCAGTTAATCCCCTCCCAGCATTGTATTTTATAGTTTAAAATATTTCTTATTTCATTTAATAAAGTTTAAAAACATTAAGAAGTTGACAAGTAGCCAAAAAGGAAGAGAAATACCCATAACAACAAAAATACTATACCTTGACCCCCTTTTCAGCACTCCGGTCAGAGCTGTACAGCTGCTCACAAAGAGAGGCAGACAGAATAGGAAAAAAATGAGTGAATGAAAAGTGGATTAAAATTTAAGACAGTAACACCAGACCGAATTAATAACAGTTGGTACAACATAAGAGGTTTGCTGAAGATAAAGTCAGACTGAGATGTTAGACTATGTCAACAGTGTCATTTGACAGAATTCAAATTAAGTGTAAGCTTTTGCACTCTCATTTTGAATGAAGTGATTCTGCTCCCAATCAGCCTTTGACACCTTTATCGTTCCATATTCACACGTGCATCCATTCAACCCTCACCATCGCCAGTGATGTATAATCATAAACAATTGTCTTCATCTCTTAAAGGTCCATATTTTAGTCTTATTTACTTTATTATAGTTTTTGCATTTTTGATATTATAGAGTTTGCTGTGTGAGAAACAAACAAACAAACAAACAAACAAACAAACAAACAAAAAACCACACACACTTTCTGCCGTGAAAAAGCTGGCCAATCAGAGACCAAAGACGGAAGGTGTGATCGAATAATGTGGCAATCATTTTTTTGTGCATGAACACACACACTCTCTTGATGCATCGCTAGTCCTAGAAAACCATCGCCAAAGTTGTCGTTCTCATTGGATAATCAGGTAAGTTTATCAGCTCTCATACTATTCAATGATTGTACAGTCCAAAATATTCAACACCAAACCTGTAACATTTCATGTTTGGCAATTTTCAACATTAGTAAGCCACGCTACTAATCTAACAGCCATAGCTAATTGTATACAACAATGCATGTCGCGTGCATGTTCGTGAGGAGCATTGCATTGGTCAGGGACACAGGAAGGGGAGGGTGGAGTCCAGTGATACTAGCACCTTCAACATCATATACTGCATGTCAAGTCAGTTTTATTACTGTGCTGTTCTGATCTAAAATTTTTCTCTCTGGGGATCATTGTTGGATCTCATTCTTATTAATGTAGATGCTCACTTTTTCTACACAGTCATCAAAGAAGGCCAGACTGGCATCTTTGTCGCTAACAAAGGAGCACTCCTCAATAAAACGGATGAACATCTGGGTTTTGGTCATCAGTGAATAGAACTTCTGGTGGGAGCGGTCACGGCTTTTCAAGAACCCTGGAGAGAAAGATGATAATGTTTTGTTAGAAGTGCCACACATAGCTCATACGCTCATAGTACGGCTCAGCTCAAGTCTCCGTAATATGTTTTATAAATGTAAACCCTGAGTAAGGCTAGATTTCCAAAATATCAAAATCTCTCAAGGAGCAGAATTCATTGAAATTAAACAAACAAAAAATCTAAATGCAAATAGAAAAGAAAAAACAGACACAGGTTTCAAAGGAGAATGTAGCAATTGTAAATCACTTGTAAGCATTTAAGAACTTCAAAAAAAAGTTCATCCAGCCTGAGCTACAGTACATCACGACAGTACATTCAACTCTGTAAAGACAACATTTAACATTTCTTATTTGGTATGTAGTATGTCTTCTGTCAAACAATCGTACAGTAGCACATAACTTCTGTGCCTTGAGAATTTGACTGACAAATTAATCAAGAGATGTAGCTGTTATTTTTGTCGTAAAGCAAAAATAAATACAATTACAATTTATTAGAATACAATACTATACAGTTAGTCTAAAATCAAATAGTAATAAAGATGGGCTGTTCTCTTTTGTTTATCATAATAACACAAAACCATGTTTTGTCACATTTAACATTGGCAACAGCTATTCTCAAAAGAATAAACTATGATATCATATCATAGCCCCAAATGAATTCAGCTGCAATGTTCTCATTGTGAAGGGCCAAACAGAAGACATCAGCAGCTGACACAGGAACTTGACAAATCTTTCAATTTCAAAACAACGAACAATTTAGCACATTGTGTTTTATTTTTTTTTAAATAGACCTTATTGAGAACTGATAAACAGGATGGATTCAACTACTCATCCGTCCATTCTCGAAAGCACTTGTCCTCATTCGGGGCACCGCACCAGTGGACTAGACCTGATCCCAGCTGACGATGGGTGAGAGACAGGATACAGCCTAAACTGGTCACAAGTCGTATGGTTCATATGGATAAACAACCATTCACCCTCACTTGGCTGGATAGGGTGTATTTTTTTCATTTGTGATGAATTTATCATGCTAGTAGATTAATATGATGATGTACAGTATGAACAAAGCACAAAACAGAGTTGCATGCTGTAAATTGCATTTTTTTATAGTATCAATAGTTACTATTATGGGATAGTGGTGGGAATTTAAGAGGTGGTTGAAGTCTGGTGATTCAATTGAAAGCCCAGGTACCAAATGCACCGCTGGCCACTGCCAGGTAGTTATAACTGGGAGGCAAATCACACTAAAATGAATAAGAGCTCCTCAACCGCTCATTAAATTTCCATCAGAGCACTTTTTAAATCTGCAAGAAAACAGTCAAACATTAATATAATAAGGTTTAGTCTTCTGGTGCATTATCCTAGCCATCATTCATTCATCTGATACTGATACAACAGGGCTTCTTTTGAAGAGAAAAAGCAGATACGCTGTGAACTTGATGTAGATGTAATGTAAGTGTGTGCACTCGTAGGCTGGTGAGTAAGAATATCTCAATTGGTCCCTACAAGTTGCTGTGCTCCAACTAAAATATCTCCCATACCTTGCAAGTCAAAAAGTGAGCTGGCATCTGTGGCTTTCTCAGATGGTGCCTGGGTGATGGGACGCAGGAAGGAACGGTATCCCTTTAAAATGGCTGCCATGAAGCGCAGAAAGGTTTCCTGGATCTCGAGCTCCACAGTATGGAGACTTTTCCCACAGCTTAACTCTGTTAAATCACTCATACTGAGCTCCAGCAGGCTATCAGACCGGTGCTGACCTGAGGACAGAGAAGTAAAAAAAAAAAAAAGATTAAAAAATAAAAAAACAATAATTCACAGCTACAACTAGAGCCATAAAATTAAGATACAATAACCTCATGTGTTCCACTGTGTCTGCTACAACAGCACTGTCGGGGGAAAGGTTTCAATGTCTACTGTCTCAGTCGGTACTCACCATCAACTAGTTGTTGGTAGAGATTGTTCAGCACATTCATTAGGTTTTTACAGGCTTTCTTGGGCAAGCTCTTCCATGTGAGGGTACGCTTATCTTCATTACTAGAAAATAAGACAGTTTAGTTCTAGTGGGCCTCAGGTCATATTGCAACAAGTCCTACACCGCAAAAAAACCCCACCAAAGAGTGCCGCCTAGGCTATACCACTCTACTTAGAACTAATGATTTGTACACATGTGACCACTGTGGAAATAGCGGGGAATTGTACACAATGTACTCTACATCAACAACTCAAATATTGCATAAAATACATAAAAAGATCAATTTGTATGTGAAGGCAGATACTCAGAATGAACAGAAAGAAATGGATAAAAAGTTCACCGTTCAAAGAGGCTGCATCCATTTAAATTGAACTGTATACAAATGTTGGAGAATTAAATTGAGGAGGGTGCACTCACTGGAATATGGTGTTTGTGTCCAGGTCCACACAGCTCACATCTGGTGGCGGGTCATAAAGTTCAAAATAACGAGAGTCCACTCCTACGATAAATGGGCATGGGGCACTCAACACATCTGCCAGTGCCAGGGGGCAAAGGGGAATATACGGGCAAGGCCAGTGGAAGGGGAAGATCATCTGAGGAGAATGAATATTTCAAACCAACAGTTGTGCATTTACTTCAATTTCTGGTTTACTTTGTATCGACAGTCATTTATTTTGGTTATTGATGATGAGTGCATCGTTTTTAGGAATACGAGCACATACTAGGTTAGATCCATCTGAAAAAAGAAATCGATCGCATGATTGCAAAGATGTACTGAAGGATACAATTGGAAATGACACAAAGACAAGTCACTAGATCTGAATTTAGTAACTTACAGACACCAAAGCTTCGGTTACACTGGTCAGTACTGCCGGTCGTAATGAGTGAACCAGAATCTTTTGTTCAGTGACAGCAAACACCAGCAGGGTGATGGCATTCTCTGGACCCAAGTTCTGGAGTAATGTGGAAAATCGTCCGCCACTACAGAAAAGACGAATGCCCAAAAGAATAATCTGATTTATGGGCCTTGGAAAACAATCTATTCTTTAATCATTGAGAGAATGACTATGTTCACAAAATGAATGGGACTATGAAACCTCTACAATACATGAACTCCTGAAACTCTTACCTGAGTGGTAATGGAGAAGATACAGGCTGGCTCAACATCAGACTGTCATGAGGGGAAAGCTGTGGAAATGATAAAATCAATATGTAAGTATGCAAAGATAAACGTAAAAAAAAGATTGGTACAACACCCATACTTTATTGTCTTTAGACGTTTGAGATAAGATCATAATTACAAAAGATCACAAATTCCATCCTTTTGTAGCACTACAATGAGGGTTAATCTACTCTTAACATCAATGTTTACCTGCACGAGGATGCGAGGCCTCTGAGAAGACGGGAAAGGAACTTTGTGCATGAAATGAGAGATGTGCCTGTGAAAAAAAGAATATCTGAGTGAAAAAAAGAGATGCCGTATACAAAAAAAACATACAACATCTAAAATGTCAAATACAAGGGTATTACTATTACTGTCCTTCATTTAGACGCCATGAGGCATGAGCTTGGTCTGAGCACAAGAGACCTTCCTAACCATGCCTGCAACCTGAATTCTTGCAGGATTTGTGAGTTCACACAAACCCCCCAGAATCCATCATGTCCCAAGCCTGTTGATTTGCTCCAAGCAATCACAATGCAACAGTGTGTTTGGGGTCGGGCTATGCGGTTGTGATGAAAACTTTTCTCAGCTTGAATCAAAAATCAACATTGTGTTAGTTATGACGCTCATTATCCGCACATTTACATGGCAAAACCGATAACTATCACTCAATACCATGATTAAACCTGGGTCAATTATCGAGATAACAGGACTCAGCTCATCAAAACAAGGCGCATGCCGGTGACCGTATTCCTAAAGCAAATGTGGGAGATGTAGATTAAAAAAAGTCAAAGACACAGCATGGAGAACTCACTTTTCAATTGGCAGGGCATGAGGGCCAGAGATGGAATAGCGATACAGAAAGGTGAGGAACTTGCGAAAGGCATCGAAGAAGGGCCAGTGAGAAAGCAGGCAGATACATTTGTTGGTGTAGACAGAGCAGGTGCAAGAAGTGTTCTTGTTGGTGACATCAGTTGGGCTGTTGCAGGGGGAGGCTTTGGGTGTGTCTGTGTTAAGTAGACCCAGCTGGGAGCTCTGTTGATCAGTGAGACACTCCTGTGGGTAGGGCTCATAGAATTGTATGGCTGCACCGTATACCTGAACACAAAAAGATGTGTGTTGATTAATAGCCCATCGTCTAGGATATGTACCATATCTTGTGCTGACCCGGCCCACCTGTCAAATTTAGAAATCAATGTGGCCCCCGAGCTAAAAAGTTTGTGACTACTAGTCACAGGATAATGTTACCCCTCCATCAATACATCAATCCGATGATGCAATGTTTACATATGCCGTGAGCATCGTCGCGAGGTTTACCAAGCTGCTGGGACTGGGACCCTAAAGAGAAGAATGTGCAACTATTTTGTTGCTTTCTGCACTATAAAACAACAGCATTGCTCCTGACTTGCGCAAAACAATTTGAAATCCCCCCCGCCCCCGTCCCGTGTTGTGGGGAAGAGAAAAAAAAAACAGCAGGATGACTGACTGCGACACAGCGAAATAATGGGAGACGAGTCATCATTTCAAGTCTGACTGTTTGTGTAAATTATCCTGGCTCAGACAAATTGAGGACATTATGTTTTTCTGCAAGGTGTGTGAAAAAGAAGGGTATTCAAAGGCTTTCATGAGAGGGAAGGTGGCCAGGATTGCTGAGGGATGATTTTCCAAAACTACATTGTCTCAACCATGTCCATGTGCGCGTATGGGTAGCGTATGTAAAAAGACAGCATCAAAACAAATGTGAGGCCATGGCTAGCTATATTGAAGTGTGGCTAGGAGATTTTTTAAATTTTGTTTAGCCACATTGGCTCTGAGGTTTCATGATACAGTGCCATCGCTTCAAGTTATTGAATTTTTGTGACCCGATCCCTCCCACCCTCTTTTTTTTTTTTTTTCTGTTTGAATGTAGACCTTTTCCCCAAAAGGTAATTATTTTTGCTTTTTGTGCACAAAAACTTTCCTGCACCTGGGTCGTTGGTCATACCGCAACATTAAAAAGCCAAATAAAGTAAGCACACCACTCTTTTACTGAAAATCAATGTAGGGGTCAAACAAACAGAGGTTAGTGGAGCTGGTGATTACATTTGCCCTAAAAACTGCCATGGTTCCCAGAAGTATCAAACAGTTTTGGACAGATCAAAGCCCAAAAGACCTTATCAACAAACCAACTAGATTGTTTGCGAATGACGACAGGCCTAAGGACAAGTGAGTATTTCTATGTGCTGTGTGTTATTATGAGGAGGTTGACTATATATTACCGGTACTCAAAATGTGACTGAGGAATATGTTTGTCCATCCATCCATCCATGTTCTGACCCGTTTTATTCTCACAAGGGTCACGGGGGGTGCTGGAGCCTATCCCAGCTGTCTTCAGGCAGTAGGCAGGGGACACCCTGAACCAGCTGCCAGCCAATTGCAGGGCACACAGAGACGAACAACCCTCCGCACTCACACTGACACCTAGGGACAATTTAGAGTGTTCAATCAGCCTGCCATGCATGTGTTTGGAATGTGGGAGGAAACCCGAGTACCCGGCCGGGGAAAACCCACGCAGGCACGGGAAGAACTTGCAAGCTCCATCCTACCTTCTCTCCAGAGGCCCCAGTTAGAACAAATGTAGAGAAAACAGGCAGCGAGTATTTGGTGTTAACGGGCCAACACTCAATTGTGGCCCCCATGGGAAGGCAGAAGAGAGGAACAGATTCTGGCAGTGGGAATGACTCATAGTCCTCCTCTGGATATCTGCTGAATAATCCTAAATGAGAAAAAAAAGTGTAACGTCACTGAGCCAAAAGAAATATTATCCTTAGCCAAGGTTACCAGTGCTCATATGGATGATTAGTCAAATAATTTTATTTGCATTTACAGGATTTATAGGACACTGATTAAAAAACTGCTGTCAATGAGCTAAATCCATTTCTGTATGATTATACATTTCACTAAAACATACATCTGACATGTGAAAAGAAAAATGACAACTCTTATGTGGCAAATATATACAAAACAAAAATGCTGAATCATGTCAACTCTGTGCATAATTGTATTTTATCAGTGCCATTTCCACCTAGAGATAGGTATAAATAAACAGAGCACATGGGGTACAAGTGTGACCTTTACTCAGTTTAAGTTATTCATGTGGACTGAATGTTGAGCAATTCAACTATGTCAACTGAAAATTAGAATACAGTTGCTCTGGGCTCAGGTAACGACCAATCATGGCTGAGCCGCAATTGGCCTAGATTGTTCGTTTCTATCACACTGGTCCTCCAAAATATATCTCAACATGAAAATGGTTGCTACACAGTGCGGGGACTGCTGCCTTGGCTCATGGTGACCTAACGGGGCAACCACTGGTATATAAAAGACTGATCTAACAAATCTGTTCAGGGTACGCATTTATGCTATGCATATTGCTCCAATTATTTCAATTATTCAGCTCACAAAGACTTTCATTGTCAGCAGAAGTGTCTATGCCCAACGCCAAATTTTACCTGCTTTGTATGCTATTGAGTTGGTTTTGGTCACAGACTTCTTATAACATAGGTAGACAGAGGAACCCCACTGGAACAAGAACACAAGAGCGTAGCATATTATTTCATGTCAAACACCAGAATATGTAAGCACCAAACATCCCTTCAATTGAATCTTACCATACTGCTGTTCAGATTCTTCTCCACCTTGCAGAAGGTGTGGGGAGGTGTCTCTCCTTTGCTTGGAATAATGATACAGATGTCGGTGACAGCCAGAGCAGCGTGCGGTTGGCTCTCAGGTGCCCTCCGGTAGGTGACATAGATGCGCTGGGATGAGTTTCCACTGATGTTGGCTGGGCGACCAGAGGGGGTTGTCTGGATAAGGTGGCAGCCCTGCTTTAGTCGCTCTTTCCACTCATAGAGGACACTGTGTGAGCAAAACCAATGCAGTAATTACTCACACAAAACAAATGAATATGGTTAGGGTTAGGGACAACAACAACAACAAAAAAAAAACATGATTTATTAAGTACTTTTAACCTCTACAAACTTTCCATTTAAAAGCAGTTTGCAGTCTTTGATAATTAATAATTAATTAACAATTAATAATTATAAGGTATTCGTTAGTTGTCAAGATTTGCCAATCAAAGATTTCAGAGACAGAAGAGGTGACCTCGCATACGCTTTCCCAGTCTGTTACACTGACAGATCTCATAAGTGTATTTTTGCACTCTGGCTAGCAAAAAAAGTTAAAAAGAAGGGAATGGACAGCCCTTTAGACAAACAGAGGGGAAATACTGTATATTCCAAGTCGTTCTCACCCGGTCATCAGGTAAGATGATCACTTCTCTTCGATTTTTAATTGACTGTATATTCCACAAAATACAACACTAAAACGGTATCGTTTCATGTGTGTTTACTTTCCAACATGAGATAAGCCATGCTACCAACGTAGCTGCATTGGCTAATGTCGGCTTGTATACAGTGTACATAGAGCTGCATGTCACGTGCTAGGTTCATGAAGCACGCAGCTTTGGTCAGCGTCGTGAGGGGGTGGGGGAGGAGTGAAGTGATGCTACATTCAAATATTGTTAGTGGCTGGATAAATGCATGCTCAACCTTAAGTTATTTAACCCATCACAGTGACCATAACAAGCATAATTCAAAGTAAATCAATGTATGCTACTTCATACACGAGAAAAAAGAATGGTGACCTTTGACTCATTTTGGCCATCTGGGATCAAGTTATTTTCATAATTGACCTCAGATGTCATTGTGACAAAAAATATGCCAAAAACTTTTTTTAAAAATTGCAACTTAGAAATGTCACAAATCAGCAATAATGTATACATTTGCCCACACAGAGAACGGTCCAGTTCTCATTAGTCCTACTCATGTCTACAAATGTGTAGCCCCTCATAACTAGCAGCACACAAAGGCTGCTGACAGTCTCAACAGAGCCTCTTTGTCAGTGCCTGATAAGCACCCAACTCTGTTGTCTGAGACTCCAGCAATAGTCCGCTATTCTTTGTCACAATTTGCCAGTTACTGGAGTACAGGAAAACGAACTGAATTACTCTTTTTCAAAACATGTTGATGAGGACGACACCTGTACATGTACTTCTTTACACTTTTTCTACCAACATCCTAAGAACAGCAGCAAGGCAGGCAGAAAGTAACTGCTGTCAGCGCTGCTACGGTGAAGAACAAATTGCATTGTTCAATGTGATATAACAAAATATGGACCTGTTTTAACTAAGATTTACACATGTCGGTAAGTAAAACGCTACTAACAGATGCATTGTTACGTTCATGCAGAGTTGCAAATCATATCTGAGATTCATAATTTCAATGGTGTTTTAATATTTCATTATCTTTGACAGACAGAAAAACCGAGCCTCTTACCCTAGTTCAATGAGTGGTGGCTTGTCGCAACCTCGCCTGTAGCATAGGAAAATCTGGGGTGCCATAAGTCCTCCATTATTGAGATCAGCAGAATGTCCACTTGGTGTAGTCTCAATGCATGTAAACCCTGGCGGCACCTCATCACCCATCGAGCGGATGACCACAGCCACATCAGTGATGGGGGACTTGGGCTTGGCAGTTTTATGGCAGGCATCGTCAAAGTGGATTTCCTGGTCCAACGGCTTGGATGAGTCTGTCAGTCCTGCCACGACAAAATAGTCGGCTACACGAGGGCCTTTGTCCTCCATCATTTCCCATTACCACCGGGTGCCTGAAAGGTATATGACAGCCATATTAAATGCATGATTGGCAGGGAAAAAAAACATTAAGATCGACATAAACCCAAACATTTTCAAAAACAGTGATTTTCCTGTGTGTTGTGGCTTTTTGTCTACACACAAGTAGTGGCATAAAAACTCTTGATACATTACAAAATTATTGTACATACATATAAAAATGCTTGAGACTGATTTAAAGTTTCTCCAAACATACTGTATCTAACAGATGCTTGGGCAGAGTGATAATGGTGTGTCGCTGGCCACTTTCAAGAGCCGCAATGTGACCACACTGCCTTTTTTCACCTCCATTCAGATTGGATGCCATAGATAAGGGCTTGATTTAAAAAAAACAAAAAAAAAAACTGTATCCTGTACCAAAAATCTGTACAGCATAGCATGTTTGAGAAATTTCCCATACCTGAGACATTGTTATTGTTAAATGACACTAGCTTAACATTTGTGTCCCACGACAGTCAAAAACCTCAACGACTACAGGGCTGACTGACTCCTCGTTATATTCGCCCCGAGACTAGGGCAATGAGATATGGCCAAAATGTCATATCTTCATAATTTTGCCAAATATCTCAATAACGATATCGCTATGAGTTCAATATAAACTAAGCAGAAGACAAAAACAACAGGATCTGGAAAGCATGTTACTGATTCTTTTTTTTTAGAACTGACTGACAATCATCAACATTAACAAAGTCTGTCAGAAATATAATAGACCTGTACTTTTGATCTTTTTTTTTTTTATCAGTCTTTCTGACTGTTTCAATTTTATGCTAAAACAGTGTTGAAGCGCATCATGTTTGTTGTTCTGTACCAGTATTTCCAAGCATAAAATTAGTAAAAAATAACGGTTCTGAATACGGATAGATACATTGGGTGGCTTGAAAAAAATGTTTAACCACACGAGGTTTGCACATGATGATGGTTGTGTATGCACTTATGCATAGATTGATGTGGTGTGAAGTCCTAGTGATATGAACTGTTTTGAGCCCACCCCCCCATACAACATGTTGCATTGTATGACTTTTTTTAGTCCACAAAAAGGTCAGTCAACGAAAACGCGTGCTGCTTAGGAAATAGGAACGTGGGCGATAATCATGAGGAAGTGTTGCTATATTGAAAGGCGAGGCTCACTACCATTCAACTGAATGAACCAACGCGGCGTGGGCTGCTCGTAAATTTTTGTAACAACCTGAACCAGTTAATCCTTGGTAATTTTGAAATGATAAATATATGGTCATGTTATGTTCCGAAACACAATATGTTTGCACCGTATATACTGGACAGTGTCTCGTAAATGTGCTCACAACACTTACTAACACGGAAGTGAATTTTTCATAGGTGTCCTGTCCTGCATCCCCTGCGCTCCCCGTCCCTCTCTCTCCAAGATTATTGGAGGGCATTGGCTGTCAATCAACACCAAACTTGAAAGGAGGAATGTGATTGTTTGGACAGAGTTTACACACAACACAAGCGTGGCAGGATCACGTTAACCTTGAATGTTCATATCTCGATTTCGATACCATAATGACATATCGCCCAGCCCTATTTGAGATGGTTGGCAGGAGGGCCATCAGCGAGATGGTTTTCTGTGTCACTCACGGCGACTTTAACAGTCTGTCAAAATGTCTTTACAGAAAAGCTGTGTGTGGTGCAACAAAAAAAGTGGGCACAGGATGGGTGCCCTCGAGAACTTGACTAAACAAGATAGTTGCATAGATGCTGCAAGTCAGAGGTGGGCAATTTATTTTTTGAATGGGCCACAAAACTCAATTGTGTTGATATGAATTGAAAGTCTTTTACCAAACACTAAATTGTAGTGTTTCAATAAGCAGCCGTTGTGGAGCAGTGGTATTTGTTGCCGCAATTAGGGGGAAAAAAAAAACAAAAAAAGGGGAAAAAGTTTTTTCAGTTTAATTTAAAGTGAAAAACACATATTAATGATAAACCTTGCCCAGATGTGCCGTAGTCAAGTTCATCCATGAGGTAGTGGGTCGGGAGCAAAATGAGCACCAAACAACAACCTCTGGTGCTCATTTGAGAACCACGCCAAAAATTTGCTGTGCACCCTGGTCTATGAAAACATTCCACATGCACAACTGCTGTCATATTCTGAAAGCTGAACCCATCCAGAGGCCATTTCATTGGAAACATATTTTGTAATTCATGTGTGTCCCCAATTGAAATCATAACCGTAATCTGGAGCACATTTAGAATTCCAAACATATTGTGTAAGAGGGTGTGGGACCTGCCTTTCATTAGCAGGGTGTGTGTTGGTTATCCTATATTTCTTGACTCGGGGGGCAGTTGAAAAACATGCATTCTCAAATTTGGAAAGCCACGTGACGTTTAATTCTGCACCTCTGTGGCAAGGATGTCCACAGACTGCAAAGTTTCAGTATGCAGCTTCGAAAGCTTTGATGTTTTTTTTTAAATTGAGAGATATTAACATACCCCATTCCAAATTATTACGCAAATAATGCGTTTCTCTGATTTTTAGTCAGTGCAAATGGCATTCAGCATGATTTGAAGTCATCGATTGTTAGAGCATAATGTGAATGTTTTTCAACACAACTCCGAATGATAACAGTATCAATTTTATTTCATTTTTTTTTGTTAAAATGCATGGTCCTAAAATATGCACAGTAGTGTTTCAAGACAATTTATGAAAAATACTGGGCTTGTTGCAGAGGCACAGAGTTAAAAACAAGAAACTTCAGCACAGTGCGCGCATATATATATATATATATATATATACACACACACACACATATATATATA